TTCGGTGTGGCAATCAGTGGGTGGTAGATTTGGTCGCCAAGCGCTTCGCGGCGTTCGAGAGGAGTACCAATTTTTTCTTTGTCTGACTCTAGTTGAAACTTAATTTTATGAATTTCGCGTGTTATTGAAAGTTCACAAGTTTAGTCAATTATTGACGGTATTGCATGCCCTATTTCTATTTGGAGAATGTATTTCCATTGGATGTTAGGTTTGTTGTATTTGTACAAAATGTACATTTGATGAGTCCTTTGTGTAAAGTTCTGGAAGGAAGTCCCTTTCTGTCTCTCACGGTGGGTATATCTCCAACCGTTTGGGCACTACCGAAATTCGGAAACTGAATTCCATCACAGTGATAGTCTGCGAGCATTGATGTGAATACGAGTGTGTGTGGAATTATTGCATTATTGCAATATAAACCAGAGTTGTAAAATTTTCGAAATAAAATAATTTTATTTGTGTAAAACGTCTCCAAAGAATAGTGCTTATTAAAAAGTACAAATAATTTTCTTAAATGCTATTTATACATAACACTTACGGCCTAGCTTACAAACTAGATACTTACGAACGAATCTAAATCTACTTTTTTTTTCGTTCTAACTAATTCTAATTATTTATATTTCATGGTCACTATTTACATTATTAAACTGTGCAATTTAAATTTCACAGTTTGGATGTTCGAGGAACTTCTAATCCTTTTGCTTTATATTTAGACACTTACAAACACATACTTATAAACACGCTAACTCGTTTAAAAACTATTTTGCACTATTTCACGATACGCTGTCGTTCCCTTTATTTTAACCGCGGCTCCAATATGGGTCCTCCACGGGCCCCTCCTCACCAGCACAGGGGTATTGACTGGATGTTTACGCCCGCCTGCTCTCGACAAGGACGAGCCCATCCTCGGCGGTGTGGCGGAAATAACACGCAGTGCTCCCCGCAATAGCCTCAGCGACAATTCGCTCTCGTAGTAAGAGCGCCTCATCTCCGGAGGTAAACTTAAGGCCCATTCACAATGCAAACATAAACATAACGCATAGGCGTAAACATAACATAAGAGATAGACTGAAGTATTAGGGAGTTTTAGCGCCACGCGTAAGGTAGCGGCGTTATGCACTAATACTCACGTGACGGACCTTGAAGTCATACCGTCTTACCTTAGGCCTAAGGTACGACCTTATACTTTCATAAATAGTGCAAGTCTGTGGATATCTCTACGGTCACCTTACAAGAGGCAAAATGGCCACCTAAAATAGAAAGTTGAATTTTTCCAACTCTGGTAAACCGATTTCGTATGTGAGGCAGTTACAATTATTCCTTACCAACTCCACAACGCTGGCAAGAACTAACGGGATATGTTGGATTGGTGACAGAAAAGAAATTCGCGAAAAAGGAGTTCCAATCATATCTTCTGGATATGTTATGTCTTATGCTCATAACGAACGCTGTTGTAAGGTATTTCCTATATTTTCAAGAAAAGCACATCCAGACTTTATACTCATCACGGAGGGCCACAAAATCTAAAACTCCATACACAATGAAAATTTGTTGTTTTGTTGCCTCGTAGAGTGTTTTAAATGTCTCACCACTAGTCTACACTCTTTGATATATTATGCAATTTCTCTGTTCAACACTTGAAATGCTTCCTTTGTTATAACGCATAACGCGTGTGGTCGCCAAGCGCGATACCACCCGCCTCCTGCGCCAGCTCTAGATATCTCAAGGGAGCGAGTCGCTTTGGCTCGGGAGGATGCCATGCTCTTAACGTATTAATTAAAACACTTTCAATTGATGGTTTAAGTGTTGTCCGTCAGAATAGCGGGCAC